CCCCAAAACCCCAAAACCCCAAAACCCCTTCTTATAGTTAAAAAGTTGAAAGATAACTATTCATTTTAAATAAATTGCCAGGAACTCAAAATGTACCAGAGGGTGAGAGTCTTTTAGAGATAATGAAATGAATGAAGAGACAAAACTGATATAAGTCAGGATTGACTGGACTCTAGAGATTTTAGTTTTATATTTAGCAAGCAAGGGAGATAAACTCCAGAAATCTAAAGATAGTTCTTAATAAAATCTTGATCAATGGTCTTGGAAGCATGGAAGGTGGAGAGCTGGAGGATGTCTGGGTTGAGCTGATAGCAGAAAAGGTTTTTGAGAAGTTTGATTGATTAGTTTTACAGCTAAAAAATAGCAGACATAACAGAAGGGAGCCAACCAAAAAGTGCCTCAGCAGCTTAAAGCTTTGAAATAGACAGAAAAACAGAAGTCCAGTTTTATTTGGAAGAGTCTAAGAATCAGGTAATTATGAATTTAGGGAAGAAAACAAGGAAATTAAAATTAAAGCAATGATGATGAGCATCCATTTGATAATAAGAGAAAGATTGCTGAGGTATGACCAATGGAATTAAAAAATCCTTTGAATAATGATATTTATAAAGCATTCTTTAAAAGAAGAAGAGAGGACAAGCTTATAGTTATTAAAGAAACAAAAAAGATAAGTATTGAACAGCAGAATCATTTTCTAGAAACATTAAAAGCAATCTGTATATGAATAATGCATTCCATTGGATAGCAATAAGCTAATATTTAAAGTTTATTCAAAACAGGAAGGTCACTTGCCATCACTTTGGAGAAGCCAGTCTAGATGCGAGGATAAAAATCTTCAGATTTACCAAAACAAACCTCAAGAGTCTCAACACAAAGAAGTCCTCTTAAGTTAAGAATTGAAGAGGAGGATGAATCAACTCGATGCTACTATTGGTTATAAGCGAGCTCGTAAATTGTAGATCCAGAGTATACTTATCAAGTCAAACAAAAGAATAGCAAGCTTCACCAAAACTAAGCCAATCAACCTGATCAGAAGAAGGAGTATAAAGAGACAAGAGAACATGAACAGCACAACTTTAAGTCCCAAAGGAAGAATAATAAGAAAATAAGGCAGCCTTAAGAGGATCATAAACAAGAGTCTTTGTAAAGAGTACCCCAGCAAGTAAAGGAAATTGAAGAATCTACTTCTATTCAACAAGAACACAGAAAGAATTCTCCTGTAAAGATGAGGATCTTGTCAGCCTCACCCAAATAAGTCAAGGCAATCAGATCAAAGAGGAAATGCGAAAGAGCCAAAGGAACTGAAGTCTGAAAGTTTAGAGTAGTCAGGAAGTTTGTGTTACTATTTCCTGAGCTTTTTATAAACTTTTACTGCCCACTTCAAAATTTTAGAAGATTATGAGGCATCAAATAAACTAAACTTCACTTTTGATAACAACCAGATTTGATCATGTGAAGACATAAAGAAGTGTCTTGAGGATGATGACTTGATTACTAACATAATACGATTTGTTCGACGAGATTCTATTCTTAAGGCCATGCTTAAGAACATAAAGACAACATCCTCTTTTTATCTTGTACGAAAAACAAGAACTGTAAGATTGCTGTTACTTTGCTTCCTAAAAAGTTCCTCAAGAAAACTAATAATGAATCTGAGCTAGAGACAAGATAAACAGAGGATATCACCATCCAAATAACAAGAGGGAAAACATTTGTAGCTGATCTGGCTTATACTAATATCTTTATCAAGATAATAGGCAAGGATTTAAATTCATCATAATTATCTTACTCAGAAATATTAAAAGAGAGCTATCTCTCCATTCAGTTGATCTAAATATTACCTATAATTCATTCAATTCCTAAACGGAACTCTGGGGTTTTGGGGTTTTGGGGTTTTGGGGTTTTGGGGTTTTGGGGTTTTGGGG